AAAAAAAAAAAAAAAAAAAAAAAAACAGAAAGACAAATCGCAGGGTTCTACCATGAATGTATTCAAACTCATTCCTACAGAGACAAAATTACATTTAAATGTGTCATCTTTGCTTGGAATTTAACCAAGAAATTCAATGACATCTATGGTACATTACCTTTGGTCCCTCACTATCACTGACTCCTGAGGAAGATGCTGTACCATCATCATCTGGAAAAATGAAAAAAGATTTCATCACTATGTACACAAATAAACTGTACTTGATGAACTTTCTCATCACTAAAACCACCATAATTATAAAGATGCTGAAATAAAAATACCCTGATTCTTTAGAAAAATGCATTTAATGACCTCCCCCCCCCATTAATGTCATCGTCATCATAGGTTATTGCCTACTATTTGCTAAGGTTTCCCATGCACAGAAATACTCTGGGAGGAGAGGGTTGTATCCAAGGGGAAGAAAAAGTCACCTCATCGACAACTCATACCAAGAGCTTCCAACTGGCAGTCCAATGCATTAACCATAAAAAACAGCAAGGCAAAGTCTACACCCAAAACAAGTGGCACATAGTCATACTGCCAGAGCTTTAGACAAGTACAAGTGTTGCTATTTCCTTACCCGGGTTCAAACCTAGGCTTTTTTATATGAAGACCAACTAAGCGTTAATTAAGCAAGAAGAAACAAAGTTTGTGAACATGTTAAAAGTACCACCTACCAGATGACGAATGATCCACATTTTCATACTGCAAAAGTCTATCAAGCAAAAAGCTAAGGAAAAATTCACCAGGAAAAAAGTTATTCTACAGAATAATGATATTAACAGGTTAGTCATCATACTTATCACATCTGAGTTTAAGAGACAGAATCATGACCAATAGTCAAAGTAAAGTAATGCACTCTCCCAGAAAACAGTAAAAGTTAGTAAGAATCTGCAATGAAGCAGGCTAATAAATCACAGAAAACAGTAAAAGTTAGTAAGAATCTGCAATGAAGCAGGCTAATAAATCACAGAATCACCATATAAAGTCTCTCAACAAATGAGGTACATAACTTTTATGCGGTTCACAAACACCAAACTTGAAATAGTTCAAAACCCAGCATATTGCAGATGACAAGGAACACCTTTTTCTCTTTTAGAACTTTACAATTAGAATAGAAATTCATTGTGTTTCTCAGGTAGGAGATTTCAAACTTCTTTATATCTTGGATGCTTATGGCAGATGAGCCAAAATGTTACCATTACGAGATGATTTTTTGTTACCCCAGGCCTATTATTTTTTGGAGTTGTACTATAACGTGACATTAAATAACATGCAAACACCTTTTGTCTCTAGAAACACGAAGAAGCTTCTTTTGCACTCTTCTGAGCTCTTCTTGGAAGTATTCCTGTTCCTGAAGAAACAGACATTAACCCTTCAATACCCACAGGTGGCTGAGATAGAATTTTTTCTTAAAACATCAATACAACATTAAGCAGATAAGTGATGAGAATTAAGAAAAATATCAATTAGGAGATAAGGAGTTGATTTGATACCTAATTCTTGAAACTAACATTATAAAAATTGTATAGCAGACAGTGGGGAGAATTACTGACGAGACTGGAGCTCCCACTGCGGAAACCAAACTGATTCTCAATTAATATATCATGCTTTTCAAGATATTCAACTAATCTCTTGTACATTAATTTTTCTATTATTTTATGGAAAACAGATAACAAAGTGATAGGCCTGTAATTAGATACAAGGGTCTGACTGCCACTCTTGTATAAGGGAGTAATTCTACCAATTTTTAGTTTATCTGGAATTAGGCCTACTGAAAAAGAAAAATTAAATAAATAAGATAGTGGATAGCTCAAAACTGTTTTTAATCATTTAAGTAATTTCACTGGAATGCTGTAAGACCCCAGTGCTTTGCTTGCATTCAAACTAGAAACGACATTTTCAACTTCCATAGGCGCTACTGAATTCTAAAAAAATACTGCGTATTGTCTATACCATGAGTCAAAAACAAAGTTTTCAAAAAGCTTTTATTTAACTTACATAGAGCAGGAACTTAAGTTTTCTCTTCAAAGTTTTGTATTTGTCTCTGTAGTTTGGGCTGTCTGTACCATGGCTATTGGTCTCTGACAAATAACAAAAGAAAGAAAAAAATGGGAACATAGGTGGGTCTCAAGAGGCACCTCTGTGTTATCTACACTACAATCCATAGGGGCAGTTACATGTATTTGGGACGGGGAGGGATTCCTAAAAGGAAAATGCTTTTTTTGTGTAGTTTTTCACAGGATATACCTTAACAATTACAAAATTTTTCTGTTTAAAAACAATCTCTCCCACTCACTATTGGGAAACTGTGGTAAATAACCCATCCACAGTTGCTGCGGCAGTACGAACACATTACATGGAACACAATAACTTGAACATTTACAAGCATATGATTCAAAAACACTGAGCATTTTATCACTTTTAAGTTTGATCTATATAATCCAGACGATCTACGTATCATTGCTTTAATCATACGAAAGGATCTGAGGGAAAATATCCATGTAAAAGAAAAAGAGACGCGAGGAGACAATTGTACAAAAAGTGATGATTTGAACTAATTCCACTCTTGGAAGCCATATGTATCCGTCCTTATTTTAATTCTCTACCCGGCCCTTCGAGAATGAGAGCTTGTGTCAAGAGAGGTGAAACACTAGCCTTAAACTTTTCTTTTGAATGGAAAGAAAACTTTCTCTACGGTAAGAACAAGTAGCTTCTAAACTGCAATTGTTGCGATTCATTTATTTGGAAAAACTTCATTAACAAACACTTACGAAGACTCAAAAATATCAAGGAAGGATTAATTTTTAAATAAGTCAATAAATCTTCATGCGAAATGTATTGAAAGATATAAAAAGAACAAAATATCGCAATCAACAAACCTGGAACAGGCATCATGGCCGCCGCCATCAAAATATTACGCTGCGACAGACTGGGCTCCACACACTTCTACTCAAACCCTTCCCTGACCGGGGTGGTGACAAATTATTTCGTTGGGCTTAGGAAGCCTCCTGGCGAGAGCCTTTAAATTATGTACTCCACGATTGACTGCATTGCTATTTTTTAAACGGGAGAGGGACAAGAGAGGTCGTATTAGGGGAAAAATGGATTGAGACTCTTTCGGTCTCAACGCCTCCCCCCGCCCCTTCCCTACACCTCGTCACTTCGATAGCGACGAAGAGTGAGTGCTCATCAAGTTACGACTTCTCGCGAGAAATTAACCGAGTAAACTCCGACAGTGCACGGGTATTCGTCGCCTGATGGAGAAAGGAGGAGCTGAGCTGAGTTCTCGACGATGAGCGTATGAAATATATTTTTACAGCTACATTCAACCTTTCCTTTGAAAATTCGCCACAGAATTGCTTGTAAAAGAAATTAAATAACTATGATATATAAAAAAGAAAAAAAAATTCTAAGCCCTTTATTTATACATAATAAGTTCAATGACAAAGAGAAAAACTCCCAAAAGTACTTCCTGCATTGTTATTAAATTCAAGAAAATAGCCCCATTGTTGAGTAAAGAATTTGTTTTGGCTTTAGTGCATCCACATTAATTACAACTTACACCTGCCCTACCACTGACAAGATCGCCCGTTTTGTTGTGATTGAAAGAAAATTCTCCTAACTGTTTGCAAAGTAATTAAGCTTTGTCCTTGAGTAGCATATTTTATGAATTTTTTAAAAATAATTAAGACAGTCTTGGAGAAATTGGTGACAGACCAACCAATTACGTCATTAGTTGATGAAGAAAATTGTCATCGATAGTTTTCTTTAACCGCAGTGAAACAGTTGGGAGAAGTAAGATTCTAATCATAATGGAAATGGGCTGTGATAATTATGTGTTGCAGGTGAATTTCAGACATTAACAACTAGCCATTGGTTCCTAAAGTATTTGTTTTAGTCAGTTCGGTTAGAGTTTATCGGATAATTGTTTTGTCATCTCAACGTTGAATAAATCATGCTTCATTTAGAATTCGCATGAAAGCGGGGTAAGTAGATTTAAGGTGTCCGCTTAAAATCATGGGCGAGAAAATTCAGCAGTTAAAATCGTGCATTCTAGACTTAAGGAATAAAATCGAGGTTGCAGAAGAGAAAATTCGTAGGGCGACGAAAGCTTTGGGAATAAAACAACAGAGATGCGAAATGTTATGGGAAGACGCTGCATATAAACGCCGTAAGCTTGCAATCAAGAAAGAAATGTTGAAGAAGACTTATGAAGATCTGGAGGCCAAACATTCAAAACTGGAACAAGTGGACGAATTACTCCACACAAGCACCATGGTTATTAACGAGCTTAAAGACCTGGAGACGCACAACACTCAAAAAGGTTTTGCACTAGAAGTTTTGTTAAAGAAAACACGAGCGAAAGCTAAGGAACTTGAAAACAAAGCAAGCGACCTTAAGACACAAGCTAAATTTTATAACCGGGAGATTAAGGCAGCAAATTTCATTGAAATGAGAGCGCAGAGGAAATGCAGCGATTTGGAAAGCAAGCTTGCTGCAAAGAGGGATCTTTTGGAACGACTGCGTGTGAAGCGCGAGAGATTTCACGAACAAGAAAAAGATTGCATCGATCAAGTACAAGCGCTGGGCGAGAAAATCAAAGAGAGTACTATACGAGCTGAGGCTGCAGAGAGAAGGTTGTATTTGCTTGAGAATAAACTTTCAAATCTGCTACAAGAGCTTTACAAGCAAACAGGGGAGGCGAGGAAAATGTTCGTGCTGAAAAACGAACTAGAAGACCTCTCCCTTGAATATTAAATTCAAGGAAACTTGTATGAACATAAGTCCTGGTTTTCCTTCACGCGTTCCATTGGTGTTGGAACTTTGAATCGTCTGTGCTCGATCATGACAGCGTGGGCAACACAATCTAGCTGTTCCCACTGTTATAGATGTCATCTCGTCTTCTTTCCACTCTTTTTGTTTCTCTTCTCGTTTGCTCTTTGGCTTCTTAAGTCTTTCTTCATTCGCTGGTCTACGATTTTGTAAGGACCTTTAACTCCAGCAGGTCTCTTCATTCTCTTGGCGGCTGAAAAAAAAAAAAAAAACAGGGAATAGAACTTTTACGGAAGATGCCACGAAGCGATTTTCAACGAGGTAATACAATCCGATTTAGAAGATACGCAGATTAACGACAAGAATGGCTGCAATGACAATTCACTTTTTGCAACGTGGACAATTTTTGAGAAAGTTGCTTCCGCACAAAGAGGGCGGACAAAATTTGAGTATGGATCTCACTAATAACATGAACAGCACCGACTTGTGGCCTCGTTTTTTGAGGTTTTCACGGATAACAACATATCCTGAAGGAACGTAATGTTATTGGAGGAACAAGCACGCCCACGCTAAAGGACTGAGCCAATCAGAGTATGCGTGCGGCGCAGAACGACTGCTGATCTAAACGGATTGCAGTCCACTTTCCCGCGCATTAAAGTTGTTGTAAGTTTCAGCTCTCCTCAAATCCTACACGGTTTTCGACGTTTGTACCAAGAGAAGTTGGTTATAATTTATTGTCACAGTGTAATTATAATTCGGTATAAAATATATGTACTTTACCCCGGCTTTTCTTGGCGACAACGTACTTCACTTCTTTCCGTTTTCCTCCGACAGCCTTTTTATACAAACTGCAAATAAAATGAAACAAAACTCATCAGAGCCTGCGATACAACCGCCTGTCACCGCACTTGCTGTTTTAGCCCATAAAACGTGTGCGCTTTTAATTGGAAATGCCGATAATCTACGCGCGGATTACAATTTAAAAACTACCTTCTAATCTGATTCATTTTTTCTTTTTCGGACACATCGACGGTATCACAAATAGCTTCTGCCTTTTGACGGGCTTTTTCGAGTCGTTTCATTTCCTGAAAAGTAATAATTAAAAATAAAGAATAACAAATCAGAACAGAATCTTTTACAGCTACACCGAGCCGTAAACCCTACACTGCTACAGCCTCTCCGGCTTTCCCTCATGGAAAAAAAGAAAATAAAAAAAGGGAAAATAACGAGGAATCCCGAGCAGAGACATATCCCCTAGAATTCGATGTCACATACCTGTGCCAAAACGTTTTCAACTTACAGAAGCTTGCCAGATGTCGTCAAAAGAATAATTTTTGGCACGCGAGTCCAATCGCGACTCAAGGAGTATGCTACTACCCCCCTACCTAAGACGCCATACAATAGCAGGCTTCTCCTTCATCATTTCAACTGGTCTCCCTTCCGCCTAGTTCCCAGTTCTACACTTCAGGCAGAAAGAAAGGGAGGTACTGTGAGAGGGGCACTGCACCTTTCACAAGACCAAACCACAGTCTGTGACAAGGTGAGGGCTAAAACCTAGCATTTTCAAACAGGGGGGGTAAAGAGCTTGCCACAATTTATCCTATTTCAAAAGATTGAATAACCCTTTAATTTGAAATATTTTCCTTCCCTAAAGAAGTGAAACCCTTGGAAACAGAACTACATCTTTTACGCGTCTTGCGAAGTTGGCGTGAATTCAATTTACACTAAATAAACAAGCAATATTTACGTCAATATAGTCTTACCTTTCGTTTCTTCCTGGCTTTTGCTTCAGCGATCTTTTTAACAGACCTTGAATTAATTTCTTTCATTTTCGCTCTGTATTCCTCTACGATTTCTTTGCTGACCGGTATCTGCCGCTGGTAGTGTTTCGCTTCATCTTCCACGAACCAAGACGGAAGGTTTGCGTCATTGAAGGCCCACCTTACAGGGGTACAGAGGATTGTGACCAATAACAAAAGAATATAACCAAACACTGCAAGTACCCTCTGCTCATACTCACCTATGATATCCAGAATCAACTATATCCCTCTTGTTTTTTCGCGAAAAAGCCATCTTGTGCCCCAGTGCTAGAGCTTCAGGAGTAAGCTTCTTCAAATATTCACCTATTGAGTAAACCAAAAATCATTCACCATCAGACTCTCGGTTGAAGAGTAAGGGTTTGAACCCTGACCGTGTCGTTGTGCTGTACTCTTCACAGTGAGTCTCTCCATCCGGGATATAAATGGGTACCAGAAAACTGTCAGGGAAGCCTGACGAAATACAAGGGGTGGGGGGAAGGGAGGATAGCCCTACCAGTTCCGTCCAGGGGTGGTATTAGTCATATCAGTTATCTGTTCTTTTGCCAAACTGCTGTTCAAAATCAACGTTTTCTTTGGGCTGCATCTCAAATTGCGATAAAACGCGGCCTGATGGTAGCAATAAAACCTGAGTGATGATGATGATGATGATGATGATGATGATGATGAAACTTTATTAAGGTGTCTAAGGAAACCTCCTAGCTTAGGTTAGAAACCTGTGCTAATTAGGGACACTAATTAGGGGACACAACATAAATAAATATAAATTAAGATAAAAATATTTAAATATAAGCGTAAGTATAAATGATATCAATATTTACAGTATGACAAATGTATCTATGAATTACAAAGATGACAGCACTTGCATCCATTATCCATTAGTGTAACTAAATCTAATGTGCGTATTTTGTTTTTGAAACATTTTAAGGTGGTAACTTCTCTCAAGTCTGGGGATAATTTTCCCCAGAGACTGGGCCCTACATGGCGGAGGGAGTGGCTGCCATATGTTACCGTATTGAACCTGGCAGCGGAGAAATCAGACTGTCTTAGGTTATAGTTTAATTCTTATGCGAACGTCACATAAGAATTGATACCGAAAAAAACCTCAACACATTTGTGACCACAATAAAGGGTTTACAGTACTTAACAACCTCTTCAACTTACTGTTATCCTCTACTGGCACAACCTCGAAGTCATTTCTTTTAGAACTGGCTCTCTTGCCGTCATTGTCTTGTGTCGTTTTGTCTTGTGTCGTTTTGTCCGGTGTAATATCCTCCTCGCTGTCAGTGCTGCTCTCACTTTCTTCACTGTCACTATCTTCCTCATCATTCAACCGCATTTTTTTCGCTTGTTTAGGTTTTTCATCGATTCCTCTTTTGGCTCCTTGTTGTTGCTCACCCAAATCTAACTCAGAATTTTTTTCTACGATAAAAAATACACCAAGACACTTAATTGTTAACCTTTGCCGGTGTTGAATGAACACATATACAAAAGCAAGCCACCTTTTCCTGTCTTAAAGACTTAGTCAAATTCAACTTCGGTGAATTTGAAAGTCGGTTTCGTGAAAAAAAAAAAAAACTTACCAAAGCACAAACGCTGTATTAACATACGCGGTTGTTATAACTACGACGGTATGGCTACGTTCGAAAGTTAAAGACATTTAATTTATCATCTTCACAGAGTGCACAAGTTTGTTTGAGAAATAGGAGAAACTATGGTATTTCGTCATTAGCTTTATAATTGATTGCGACAACACCTACCCAGGATAGTTCCTCCTTGCTTCTTATATTGTTCCACCATTTGGGAAATCTCAAGGTCTTCGTCGGCATCGTCTTCCAAACCTTTGAACGCATCCTGTCACACCGAACAGGCAAACAGTAAAGTTAACTGAGGATTCCAGTCCGATCACACGCGAAGTGTGTCATCTTGCCGAAGTTAATCCCTAATTTTGCTATAGTGGCGACCTGGAATATTGCTACTGCTTTGATGGGAAACTGTTCGACTGGTTTGTTTTCCGAGAGTTTGCCCGAACCCATTAAAACTCCAAAGACCGACCAGGGGCCCGTTTCTCCAAAAGTCCCGTTAACTTAACGGGCTCGAAGCCACGTTCTAAAATCAAAATTTAGAGGATTGGAAAGCAGGTTCTGGCACTCAAACCAGTCCTTTCTGTTTCTTTAGCTGATAGTTTTATTGCATCATTTTCAAAACTTTTTTGAAATCCACATCTTGAATGAAACCAGAACAGTTTTACGGGCCCGTTAAGTTACCGGGACTTTCGAGAAACGGGCCCCTGGGCTTTAATCTGGACTTTTAGACTCTGAGTTCAGCCCGTAAACCACCAACCCACTGTGTATAACCATAGACGTTGATTAAAAATAGATAACTAAAAGGTTTTTAACAGAAAGGTTTAAACCAACGTTAACAGGGCCTGTTTAAAAAGATCACTCCTGACTTTATTCATACCTTTTCAAACCACTTGTTTGCCTTTACCGTAAGAGGAACTTCAGGTTCTAACTCTATCAAGAGTGGGTTTTTGTCCCTACACAAAAAAAAAGCAGAAATCATTCTACCTTGAAATCAACTTATTAGAATTTCAAGAGAACATGTAATTTCTTTTTACGTTTTCAGCTTCATGGAGAAATTTAATAACAAACTCTTAACAACAAGGTTGGTTTCAAAGCCGATTGTAAACATCCTTTAAAATTAAGATTGATTCAAATTGTAGGAAATTAGGGAAAAAAACCTTTGCTGCTTTTCATTGCTGTCATCCTCTCCACCATTTTCTTCTTCAAATTCTAATTCTTCCTCTTCGCTTTCAGAATCCTCTCTTCTTTTATTATCTTCGCTATCATGATCCGATTCAGAATCTAATTCCTGTTCGCTTTCGCTTTGGTCTTCATTCTCTGCTTCGTTCATATCTGCATCATCCACATTATCAAGATGCTGCAACAAAAATATTCATAATGATGTGAAAGGTAGAACCTTGACACAAGTGCCGTTCATCAAGTTATTCTACGTAAAAGTAAATCTCTGGTCGTGATATAGCAAAGAATAACGAATTTGTATCTGACTAATTTTTAAAATGAAGTCCACTGTGTTAGGTAGAACAACGTTTGTTCATGAAGAAGTCTTCTGATGCGTTTACTTTTGAAAGATACATTGACCCTTGACAAACGAACATGAAATTCGTGTCCTCGCAAGATCATGTTATATCTTACTAACATATCTTCTAAACTTTATACTTGACATTTTTCTTTCTACTTTGACTTAACCACTAAAGAGCGCAGACATTGAAGCGCAGCATTGTGACACATCTCTTTTGACACACTAATTTCAAACAATACCTGTTTACTCTTGATGTTGGCAAGGGAAAACATTTCCATATCTGTCTCCATGCCTTTAGTGTCTCCTGGGATAATCATTTTTAACTTCATCTTTTCCTGTAACTTTTGTCTCTGTTTCTGAACTTTCCGCTTTTCCCTGAAAACAAAAAGATATCGGATTGATAATTTATAAAGTTAATGCACCTTTTTTCCAGTTTATCCGAGCCATTATTTTCCTTTTTCCAGACTTAAGAGTGTGATTCAAATCATATGTGAAGAGTTGGGCCCAAAATTGGAAATTGATATGATATGATTTTTCATTAATTCACAGTACACTGCATTGTCAGTACTACAGAAAATGTACAAAGAAGAGAATGGAGAACAGGGATGATGGCACAGTACCTTTTAACATTTGCAATTTCCTCGTCCTTTAATCCTTGTATCGTTTTTTCAATAATGTCCTAATAAAAATAGTTTATTACAAATCTATAATGTTCCTGATAACTTTTATTTTGATCAGTCTACTTTTCACTTACAGACACCAACATGAAAAGAGAATGGAGTGCAAACAGTATGTGTGTACAAGCATTAGACATTTTAGAATTAATCAAGGATAGACCATCTAAAGCAAAGGGAAAATTTTGCATCTTTAAGGGTCAATCAAGCAATGTAAAACTGCTTGTAAATGTGATCAAATCATAAATGAACCCCTCCCCTCCCCTCCCCTCCACTTCCACAATGCTCACCTGGAAGACAGAAGATCACTTCCACTACCCTATCAAACCCCCCCCCCCACCACAATTCTTTCTCAACCACCAAAATTAATATCATTTTAATGTGTAACCAATTACAAAAATGACCTGACCTCTTCATTTTCCTCAAGGCTACTCTGTTCATCTTCCTGCCCCCTGATTATAACAACAACAAAAAAAAAAACAAACAACAACATGGTCAATAATACACCTCTACTGTATTTGAAACTTCAACCAATGAACAATGTTTGACTTGACAATAAATTTTAAGAGCTGAAATTACAAGAAATGTTCTTGCATCTTGAACAGTAAGGACATTCAACATGGAGATTGTGGGAGTGAGAAGGTTACAACTTGCCATACCTGATGTTTTCATTCTGATCTTCATAAAACTCTTTCCGTAATGCTTTGTGCCAGCTCAATAGATTCCTCCAAGTTAAATTCATCAAATCATAGTGTTAACTGCTGAGTACAGGTATAGTACTCTAAATGGAGTGAACTCCAAACAAGAAGTGTAATATTTCGGAGTTGCATACATGATACCACAACATGAGGTACCTGACTATGCACATTTACCATGTACAAAAAAAAAGACATTTTTTAAACTACAGGTACATGAACTATCAAGATATCCAGGCACATGTAATGACTGTCTCACTGATGCAATGGTCTTTTTTCCCCACATGTACATATAGCTTTAAATTATTTTGAATCCTTACTTTATGTCCGACTTCCCAAGAACTTTGACATCTTTAAATGCTTCCTTGATATCCTCTGTGGTCATAACATGTTTTGAATATTTTACATCATCAAAGACAATCTGAATCAGAACAGTAAAGAAAACATTTGTTCATTTTTTATAAGGATAACCTGCATCAAAGATAGAACTTGACACTCTGTATTTATCACCTTTCCCATAAAAGTAACATTAAAAGCAAGTGGTCATTCCTTCCAATTTCACTGCCTTTTCATAATTCGTCCTTTTATCAATAAAATATTTCTCAATCTTGTTCTTTGTAAGAGAGGGGGGAGGGGAGATACTCAATTCTTTTTGGTCCCACAACTACTAGAGCTCAAGTAGAAGTCCCCCAAATAAGATGCTAATCTGTTGTAGATCACCCCCCCCCCTGTATTTTGTAAGGTTTCTCTGACAGATTGATGGTCTCAACTTATTCTCCTGGGTGGAGAGAGGTACTGTGAATGCATCCTTGAGATTCTCTCCTTAACTATGTAAATAGCTGGTTAAGAGAGAGACCAAGCTTTCAACAAACCTCATTCACTAAACTAAGGATGTCCAATGGTTGCTCTGCTTGCAGGAAGTCTGATACTGTAGTTGATCTGAACAATGTGTAATCACCTTCATCATATCCTTCAGCGCGTTTTTTCTGTTTCTGAACAACAATTAAATATCAATAATTATTAAAAACTAGATCATTGGATAATGCAATTCAAGACTTTTTATTGGCTTAGCCATTATGGTATATCAGCCAATATACCATAATCTACAAATATGGTAAGCGTACGTGTCACCTTAAAATTAAAAGGGAGCTAAAAATTTAATAAAATTTAATAATTTAATTCAACGTTTTTAATAAAACAATTATTCCACTCGTGCTTGTTGGATATGAGATGATTATAGCCAACTCAGCGCTACGCGCCTCGTTGGCTATCTATCATCTCATATCAAACACGCGCTCGTGGAATAATTGTTAATTAGACATAGATTTGAAGTGACACTTCCATTGTATGCCCCATGGCAACTACAACAGAGTTGCTTGGAGCATTACATTATACATTAGTACAATAATAAATTATCCATTAATAAATTCATGTTTTAAATCCTTATGTATAAAAAATAGACACTTACTGGTAACATCTACTATTGAATAATATCTATAATAGTCATGATCAATTCATATACATATATAATAAACACATCAAGCAAAGAAAAACATATCTAGTATATAGAAGCCAACACAGAACCACCTTCAATAGGTGGGAAAGCAAAAGAGACAATTAACAGAAACAGAAGTGACCTGTGATCCTCATTTTTTCCAAAGAGAATATGACATCCTTTACCTCCACTTGTAAAATACTGACTTTCTTTTTGCCTTCAGGTTCAACTTCCTTGAAAATATGTTTTGGATCCAGGAGTTTTGGATCAATTTTGGCAGGTGCTATGTAACCCTTAAAAATTAAAAAAAGATGGGTACAAAATAAACTTCAAAATCATTAAAACTATTAATAGCATGTGTAGAAAGTATAATAATTAATTCAATGGTGCATGTCTAATGTAGCTGTGAAATCCTTCATCTTGGGGGCGGTTGCAATTTTTTTGGCTGTGAGCCACACATTTCCTGAGCCCACACATTTCTCTTTCTCAAATAAGAATTGTACAATGAGGTTTTTTTTTTTTTTTAAATCTAAATCAAAGATATACCTCGCATACAACAAAAATCTCAGCTGACTCTGATCTTGATGCCTGTGGTTTAGTTGAATGGACCCTTTTAAAAAGTTGTTGGAAGACCCATAACAGTGGCTGATAATCTTTGGATCTGAATACCTGCAAAAACAATTGGAATAAACTGTACACTACTGATATTATTTATCAATCACACAAAATTACTTGTTTTACATTTAAATTTAAAGGCATTCTAGATAATGGGAGGAAAGAAAATGAGACTCATGACTAAGCCTTGGGATGTGTAAAATCAACAAAAGATTTTTGGTGTCGATCTTTTAGACAAAAGAACAACTGTCTGTTTCCCCTGACATGCACATGAAGATTACTCTTTTTCTGATGTTCTATCAACAGACTGTGTGGAGGTTAGTTTAGTCAATGATAATTAGTTAAAAAACACACTGAATCAATAACAATCTCTCTCTTTTCCCAAATTGCTTTTTTTTTGAGAGGTTTCTCATGTAAGATCACTATCGTATTATAATCATACACATAACCAGTACAAAAAAAAATTCTCGAGAAATACAAAAAGTAAACCACAACAGATACCTTGGTTATGAACCATCCTCCCTCTTGTAAAAAGTCACATGCTAACTTCAAAGCACTGAGGGTCAGCTGAGCTGTTTAAATGCAAACAAAATAGAACATTTATGGTAAATTTACCAATTATAGAGCACGTTATCCATACCTGATATGGTAGGGTTTACAGATTTGAATGTTTTATTTCCTAATCAAAAAGAAATATTCATCTCACCTTGCGTGAATGCATCCTGAATCCAGGTTGACCCAACATTTGGAGCACCATCATTCAAAACACAATCTGCTTTCCAAGTGTGAATCTCCTTGCTAATCAGCTTTTGATCAATAAAATAATGCATTGCTTACATACAATTTTATACTGTGACATACTCACTACAGGATCTGTACTGAACATTCAGAGTCACCTTAAGTTATAAAAAAATTAAGGTGGCTCTGCTCCTATAGTACACATTTTTACAAAAAGATAACCAAGGTTCATTGCTCATTGCTCAGTTATAGGCACAAAAAACTAAACTTATTGATGTTCCTGGATCATGGTGACCTTATCTCTCAAAAATATGACCAAAACTTGTTGATGAATAATAGGGCAATTGGGAAATCGTTGACAGTATACATTATAACCCAAAAGAGTGAAAGTATCAATCTGAGAAAGAACCAGGTTTAAGAACAACAAACATTTGCTGCATTACAGGCAATAGAAAACTGTAAGGACACTTGATGAAATGCCCAGAGGAGAGATGGACTGGCATCCTCTTTAGGATAAAAAAAGGGTAAAGTCTGTTTACGAGCCTATTGGCCCATTAGGCCGGTGCTTAACTCCGGTTTCTGTGGCATGAAGCGACTAGGAGTATTTCTTCTCCCCGCTGGATGGGATGCCAGTCCATCGCAGGGTTACCCCCAGCATTAAATTGCTGGTACCCATTTATACATCTGGGTGAAGAGAGGCACTGTGAGAGTGAAGTGTCTTGCCTAAGAACACAACACAATATCCCGGCCGGGACTCAAACCCGGACCACTCAATCCAGAGTCGAGTGCACTACCCATGATGCCACCGTGCCTCCACCCTCTTTAGGATAGGAGTAAGTAATTAAACACAAGCTCCATAATAAGTATCTTACCTGAAAGTTTGATGATATTTAAATTGATAAAATTTATTATCCTTTTGAGAACCCTCTTTAATTCAACAATGTTCCTCTATATAAGAATGAAGCAACATACCTGTCTACATCTGTCTGTTGTGATGTCTTCTTGAATTGTTATGACATTATGAATTCCCTTGATGGGAACCAAGTCAACACCTAAAGTCAGAATACATGCACTTAACAGATGCAACTTACAGTAGATAATTTGGGTGCAGTTACATGTGTAACAAAGTCGAGGCAGTGGTTTCCCTGATGTAATGAGGGAGATTCCAGGGACGTTTGCAGGATTTTGGTAACTTGCTGTTAAATAGATACTTGCTGAGAGGAGGTTTCTGGCTTGATCGCCATGGAAACCTCCTACCAGGTGATGAGAACCCTTACACTACCTTCCCTTCAAATAAGTTAAGGATTTGAAGTGACAGAAAGTTCAGCTGTGGGAAAAACCTAACATGCAGATTGAAGAATCCTGTTCGTATGTAATGAAATGTCACCAATAAAAGAATAATGGACCAAATATATGAAATTTTGTTTATTACAGTATTCAAATATGTTAACTATTTCCTCATGCTACCATCTTCAGGTTACTGGTAACAAACTAAAGGAAAGAAGGTGTCGAACTACAACTCCAAACAAGTAACAACTCACCAACTATGATACTTGATACTGGCATAAACTTGGATGCAACTTGAAGCCTTTAAAAAAATTGTAAAACACTAGCAGATAGACATCTTGTACGCTCAATGTCTCTCAAACTAATGATCCAGCAACACTTTGAATCTTAGGGGAAGGGCGGAACTTATCGATTATGACAAGATAATTGTTAAAATTTGGAGTCAGTACAAGTCTTATAACAGAATCGTTGTCTTAATCAAAGAGATGCTCTACATATATGCGACTGTCAAGTTGAAGCATTTTAATGTTTTAAGTTATTACCATCCTCCAGGGGCCGCACACAAATCGATCAGGCATCTTGAGGTCTGAAGGAAGCTAAATTTTCTGTTCAACTGAATCAACTTAAAGGCCGATCGCGAACGGTAACCTATTTGCAGAAAAAAAAAGAGCCAAGGTAAGCCTTGTACATCAAATTTCGCATATTCAGACTTGATCGACGTTTCATACCCGTTTCCTTCGCGAGATGATAGAATTTATCTTTCCTCTGCTTTCCAACTTTAGTTTTTTTGCCCATATTTACTAGGAAGAAGAAATGTTTTGATCAATTTACTGCATTGCAAAATTCTCCACGTGAGAAATTGTAGATTGAAGACTGGGACTAATGGTTGATTCCGCTGATGAGTATCTTTTATGGGCTCGATTACGGACACGTGTGCCGCCATCTTGTTCCTCTTGGTTGTGCTAGTTATACTTTATTGTGTAAAATTATGGCCGAGTCCAAATTTTTCGCCGCGGGAAGTTCGGAAAGCGAATCCTCTGATAGTGAAAATGAACAGCCAGTAGTTCCAAAACCAGTTACTCTTACTACTAAGTGAGTAAAACATTCTAAAAAGTCGTAAAGAATTATGTATGGAACCTCGGTATCTCGGTTATACCAGTGAACTTGAAATTCCAGCCAACTTCCTTTCCCTTATTCAGATAACTTAAAACACCCGTCACTGTAGCCTTTTTTAGTTTTCCCTGGCCAATCGAGTCAGCAAGGTTCTCGATCTATTGTACAATAGTTGATTTTAAATGTAATATTCTGAAACAAAGGGAAGATGAGATTTGTTGAAGTATATTCATCGATCGCAAGAATTTTTTATCGAAGAAAACAGAGTTTTGTTTTATGAGGGCCTTACAAAACTACTGGTGGCAAAGCAACGTTTTGGATGTAAGAAATGACCCTCATTTAAATGGTAAAGTTAATGTTCAACACAAGGCTGCTTACAAGCTTTACAAAAGGATGAAGAGCTCGACACAGGATGCAGAGGAGCTCGACACTAATTTTTCAACTTACTAGCCAAGTGGCTAGTGATATCTTAGATGTTAAGACAATTTCAGTTTGTTTACTAGCCAAACTGGCTTCTGGATATCAAAAACCACTAGCCAAAACTGAATTTCTACTAGTCTGTGACTAGTTGGCTACCATTAGGGTCAAGCCCTGCAGGATGTCTTGTTGTTACAAATGATGTTTGGATTAAGTTATTCATATACCTTTGTCAGGTCTTTTATGTTCAGTGATGATGAAGAGGAAACTAAGAGGGTTGTGCGAAGCCAGAAAGATAAAAGGTTTGTCAACCATAGTGTTCTCACAGGGAATTTGTTAACTACTTTACAGGGCATATAGAGTCAGGCTTTTAATTGTATTGGTTATGATCATTGTATGTGATAGCCTGACACTGTTGCATGAGACAATCAATCAAACGCTCATTTATTTATATAACCATGTTGAACAATTGCAACATCTTCAATAACATACATTGATTATAAAGTGGAAGGTGTTGTTGTCCAAATCACTAAAAGCTAGATTATTATTTTGTCTTCTGGTTAGATTTGTTGTTTCATGATTTTATTTTCCCCTTTTTCAATGTTTTTGGCAAGTTTTGAATTTTAAAAAGGAAAAGAGAACCAAAAATAGACAAGATGTAAATATCTTTTGCAGTATTTTAGTGATAACACTACTGACCAAGGTGTAAATGGAAAATGTAAACACTGTCAATTGTGTAGCTTTCTTTATCTCTAAACTTCCAGTTATGATTACCAGCTATAACAATTTCTCTGGATATGACATCAAATTATCATAACTTATTTACAAGAAAATTTATAGAAACTTAAAGGGAGAGTTATATGTACTTGTGAGGTCTTGTTAGCTTAGGGATTTAATGCTTTGATTCGGTAGGTTTGAGGAGCTCACTAACTCTATCAAACAGCTTAAGAATCACAAGAAAATAAAGGATATTTCCAAAGTTCTTACTGGTATGTTTGTTGACTTTGACTCATGTTTTGCTGCTTATTGTTATTGGTTAATTATTGTTAAACTTTGAAAACCAGAAACACCTGAATCAAAGTTTGAATCAAAAAGTAAATTTGCCTTAAAAATTAAATTGGAGAAACCTCAGCAACTCAATGTGATAATGATTTCATTTTAGGGCCAGTTATTTACATGAGATCTAACCCAAACTGCAGTTTAACGCAAGCATTGGGCCTTAAGATTCTCCATAAGGGGTTGATTTAATTAAACAAATGTCCTTCCACTATTAGCTTTTGGCCCTCTTGACACTGTTCACAAAAATAAAATAATGCTCAGATAAAAGGTTTTGCTAAATTGAAGATGGTTTAGAACACACTTTTGTTAAACAATGGCTAAACTTCATTTAAATCACCATTCCTCAAATTTTATATTGTTGTCTCTTTCTTTGTAGAATTTGAGAATCTTGGAAAAGCTTTCTCCAAAGCAAAAGCTGTTGTTGATAAAGAAGGAATCCCACAGTTTTATATCCGCTGTTTGACCGAGTTGGAAGACTTTGTCAAAGAGGTACAAAAATGTATTTAAAGTAGAGCGCAAGTAATGAAATGAAATGCTGTTAATTTAAGATGGTTTTATTTGTAAGCTTTGCAGAATTATTGGTATAGGTTATTCCTATTTAGTTTGCTATTGTAAATAATAAGCATTGTACACAGTTTAGTTTTAGAACTCTGGGTTGGGTGGTTTGAATGGTGGATGACCCTTTCCACTAGACAACTCTCTATCCATTGGATAGTGCAGTACATTTTATTAATATCTATTTGCTAGGTAGCATTTTATCCATTGGATAGTGTTATTTTTATCTGCCCTTTGAACAACTAGGCCATGGTCAACAAATTGTCAGAACTGTTAAGATGCAAATAATTAGTGAGGTACTTTATCTGTTAGCTGTGAACAAAAAACTAACCTTAGACCTGATATCATTATCATGTTCATTCTGGTTTTAGAACTGGGAAGACACAGAAGGCCGTAAGAAGCTTTCTAAAGTTAATGCTCGAGTAAGTCATGGTGTTTTTATTGACAAAACTGTGTAGACCTTTCCCAATTGCTTGTGCACACTCTGTCATCACCATGCAGGTGAAATGGGTATAGACTATTTTATTTTTGATATTAACATGGTTTGTTAAGTATCTGAATATAATCCTGATTGTGTACTGTGTTTGCAGTCTTAAGTTTTACTTCAGTAACATACAGATATGTGCACTACTACATAAGTAAAACATACAATGTAACATGTGAAAAAAAAAACAGACTTTATTCTTTCAGTGGTTTTGAAGAACAAATTAAAGGTAGTCTGATTTCTTGCTTAAATTTTTGTCACCAAAAGGCTTTGGCTACTCTGCGGCAAAAGTTGCGGAAATATAATAAAGATTTTGAAGAGGACATTTTGAAATACAGAGAGGTAGGTTTCCATAAAAGGTGTTGTTACAAAGTATTCTTTTCTAGCTCTTAGACAATGTAATGCCATGTTAATTTTGACTATCTATGATTGAAAATTGCTCCAAGGATAGCTAAATTAAATTAAGTTTATTTTTATGTCAACAGAACCCTGTACCCTCTGGCGAATCCGACCAGGAAGAATCAGGTAACACATTACAATATTTACTTTATGTAGTGTGGAGCTGATAATCTAAAATGTTGTATGTTCCATTTATTTGGTTGCAGGGTATTCAATATACATGGTCAATCTAGGTGAAGTCAATCTACATGTAATGAAATTATTATTTTGTTTGGGAGGATGATAACTGTTGCTTTAATCAAATAATACACCAGAAACACAGCATGAAATATCCATTCACTAAAAGTCTGTTACTGTTTTGTAGGTTCGGAGGATGACGATGACGACGACGATGATGACGATCGCAGTGATTTCCGTGGTGCAGAAGATTTCACCAAAAAGAAAGTTCTAGCGGAAAAGAGCAAGCCCCCAAAGACAACAGAAGTAATATGTTGTGGTTATACTTATTTCTTGTTTGTAAATATCACCTTCATCTGAATTTCTAGAGCTTTGCCCGGCCACTTTATAAGTTCTGGTGGCTTTTCATCCTTTAAACCTAAACTAGTGAGCTTTTCAAAGTGAATGAAACTAGGTGACATTTTCACAGCTGTTGTAAAGGTAACATGCCCTTTACATTTATGATCATTTCCTTGAATGTAAATATTTTTATGAATATAAAATATTTCCATAAACAAAGATATTTTCTCGAACACAGTTTATTTAGCTGGAAACAGTGAAGGTTAAAAATAAATTTGGGATGGCATGACAATTACATTGGGATTGTAGAAAGTTTAAACTTCAATTCAAAAAAGATTTGCTTTCACAGTTTTTTTCAGGTCCCTTCATATTTAGATGTAGGTCTTTTTTATTTGTTTTTTCCTTGGCCTGTTTCTATTGATCAGGAAACTTTGATTATTTTTGTTGATAGGCTGGCTATGATGAAAATGATGATGATGATGATGATGACAGTAGTGATTGGGATAGCAGTGAGGATGAGTCAACTTCAAGTGACAGTGATATTGGTGGAGAGGGAGGCCTAATGCAATATAAACTCAGCATGTTTCTTAAAAAGTCAGTAAATTCTTAGTTTCTCCATTGTTTATTAAATCTTATTACCAAAGAGTTTTTAAGAGCCTGTGTTTCTTTATGAAAGCAAATTTAATAGTACGGAATAGACAGGTGTGTATGACGTTGCCACGCCTTTTATAAAAACAAGTGCTGTTTCCAAATATTGTTTCTCAAAATCTATTTGGGAGGCAACCCTTACACATTGGACAATTAAGGAATGGGTAAATGCATGTATAGGTTACATAGCATACATGTAGACCCTGGTAGAGCACTACCTTGCCTGTCAGGGGGGAAAGAGGTATGCAACAGAAATGAATGAAACATTATTTGCCAGCTCTGGGAAAAATTCATCTTAGTGCTGACTTTTGTTACCAGAGTGTTTCAGACAAGTCGATATGTACATGTAACCACAAGTACATGTATAGTTATTTACTATAATTACAACTTAGGAAGAGGTGTGAGCCTATAGTAGAAGGGAGATGGTACATATGGAGATTAGGTGTGAGGTTAAGAAAGATTAGTCTGGGTCCAAAGAATGGTCATAAGGATTTTTTTTACACATTACAACTAAGGACACTTTAATTGATCAGAGATCAGAGATAATGCTCTTAGGGGATACAATAGATGATCAATGATCATTTTTAGTCATGTAAGTAATGTTTATAGAAAAGCCTCCTGTCAAACTGGTGGTCTTTTGCTGGATTATACATTTTTAA